CTCCTTCGGAGTCTGCTGATTGGTCAATGCATACTTGGTAAAGAAGGAAAAAGGCCATACATATTAACCTATGGTAGACAGACTATTCTCTAAGACTCCTATGGTTTATAGTTCAAGGAAACAAAAGGCCAAACAGGATTCGTTGCAAAGATCAGATCATGTAAAGGACTAAGCATCATGGGATTCACAATGACGTGGTCACAAGGCAGGCATCAAGAATGGAAATGAGGACTTAGACAGGAACTAGTTAAGACACACTGTTGGTACTTATTTCTTTGTTTTCCAGTTCCATACCAGGTAGCGCTGACAAGTCAGCAGACACCCAAGAATTAACCATATCCAAATGTTGGCAGCTGAGCCAAGACCCAATTTAGGCAGATCAGATGAGGGATAGTGTGTCTGTCATGGTAGACTGATTGTCTGTATAGTAGCCTATTCTATCTAGAAAGAAGCTACAGGATACTGTGCAGATGGTACAAATAATGCTTGAGGAGTATTCACATGTATTTTATCATGATCAATGTATACATGTGAAGTTTGGGCCTAAAAATTAGAACATGTAAATAGATCCTGATCTAAGATCCAGATGTATTTCATGAATACCTTGAATTCTATCAGCATGTGCTCCCATTAGTGCTTTGGGAAATCTGTATGTGGACAAAGTAGTTCAGGATCATTGAGAGCATACATTTGTTAAAATATGATTCTCAGGCCCCACTGCAGACCCACTAATGCAGCCTGGGGTTGGGTCTGAGATCTAAACATTTAACAAATGTTCCTACTGATTCTGATGCCTATAAAAAGCATAGTCAAATAGCTACTTGGCTTTAAAAAAATACTGTCCTATTTCAATAGAACTCAACTTATGGGAAAGGAAAAAAATCAGCCGTAATTTATTTCAGCCATTAGATGATTAGTTTCCATAGTTAATCCATATAAGTTCTGAAGATCTAAAGTGTACCAGTGTACTTACCCACTATTGTCCCAGAACAGTTCTACCGAGAAGTGTGTTTCAGATTGGAAGAAATATAGACCCTCACTTCCTTCCCCCACCCATCTATTGTAATGATAGTTGGAGCAAAGCTTTTATCTCCCCCCTTCCAATGTGGCTTCCTCAGTAACTCCATCTCTCTTCTTACCTTCCCTCCACTCTCCACCCCCCACTAAGAGAAAATAGGGACTTTTCCAGCTTCAAGTCATTGGGGTGGCACCTGAAGCCTGTTTTTGGGCCTCTAGAAGAGAAGATCTTCATGTTGACTACAGGAAATGGGAGTGAGGAGCTGGTGGGGATGTCCTGTAAGGGGAGGGGTTGGGGACTTCCCTCAAACTCTCCCTTGCTGTGGTGCCTGTGGATTGTCTAAAAAAGGGTTAAATGATAATTATTGACATGATATATTCAAATTGCAATAACTGTCACCAAATGATATATATATTTCCACATCTACATTCCAAACTATTTTGTTTACAATGTCTTCTTTAGAGAAAAACGATATGATGCAAATGAAATGGTTACTCACTTTAATAGCAGTGCTTTCGTCAAAGGATTTTGGTGCCCATGCGTAAAGGTGAATTGATGATTTCAAAGCAACTGCAATGTATGTTGTTTCTTCATGTTGAACTATAAGGGCAACGTACAAAAAAGTCATATCTCAAAATTAACAAGCAGGTGTTTGTATTTATTATCACAGTTGAAATAAACACAATGTTAAGAGAAAAAGCTGTGTATTTTTAGAATGGCTACTTGGCTGGAGTTGTATTCTCTTCATTCAATATTAATATCTGTGTAATTCATGGATTGTATTTATTAACATTCAAGTGCATTTGATTCTTATTATACACTACTACAAAAACAAGGAAAAAATAAAGCTCTAGTAAAGCTGAGTGGCACCTAAATTTTATCTTAGCCCTTGGGAGGCTCAGGTAGGAAGACTGAATTTGAGGACATCTTAGGGCTACATACCAAGAGCCTATCTGAGAAATCCAAGGGTTGTGAGTGTGGAGTAGTGGTGAAGTGTTTTCGTACTATACACAAGGCTTGGAGTTTCATTCTTAGCAGAGAATAAGATATTTAAAAAGTCAAAATAAATGGAAAAACTTCCCATGTTCACAGGTAAGTAGATTTTCTCAATATGTAATTATCTAAAATAATCTCTACAGATGAAATGCAATCCATATTGAAATCTTAATGATTTGTTCTGTAGAAATGAAGAGGCTATTACTAAATGTCACACAGAATCTTAAAAATATTCAAACTCTTCAGAAAAGTCTTCCCAAATGCCCAAAGTTAAAGTACACCCATTTTCTGAGCTCAATGTTTACTATAAATTATACCAGTAGACTTACTGAAATACCATTCAGTCATAAATAAGAATGAGATTATGTCATTTTGCAGGAGTAGATATAGCTAGAGATGATTATATTAAGTTAAAAATCAGATTGCAGGAGACAAATAGTATACATCTTTTTCTTACAAATGTAACTTGTATTTAAGAAAAAGTAAAGGGGCTGGTGAGATGGCCCAGTGATTAAGACAGCAGACTGCTCTTGCACAGGACCCAAGTCCAGAGACTGGCACCCTACTTGGACATCTTAAAATTGCCTGTTAATCTAGAATCTAGAGTCTATCAATGGGATCTTTGCTGACCTTGTTGGGCATCAGATACACATGGTGCATAGACATACATGCAAGCAAAATAGTCATACAGATAAAATATTTGTAAAACAATACAAATACAGACAAACTGAATACATTTGAGCTTCAGCAAAAAAAAAAGTCATTATATCTAAGCTCAATGACCCATTCAATAAAGAAAAAATAGTGCCTTAAACGAGCAGTCTTAGAACATATTGTAAAATATATGCAAAAGAACAGAGCAGCAGACTGTGTCAGAGCAGACACAAATTAAGTAAAAATGGATCAAAGACCTAAATGTCAGAGCTTATGCTGTAAAACTCTAAGCAATAAACAAAGGAATAAAAATTAATAACTTTCAATATGGCAATATATTTTTATATTTGACAAAATTCTATGTAAATGATACAAGAAAAAGTAACTTAAGCTTCATTCAAATTAAAAACTTTTCTGCATCCTAGGTTCTAAGAAAGTGAAATTGGCTCTGGTGGTGCAGACCTGAACACTGACCTATGAGGAAGTCTTACAAAAGACTTAGGATTACAAAAACAAGGCCAGTCTGTCCAACTTTGTGAGACCCTGTCTCAAAATATAACAATGGCTGGAAATATGTCTCAATGATAAAGTTAAAGCCTGATATGTACAAGGAAGCCTAAGTTAAGTTTTCAGTACCACAAAAAAAGGTAAAAGGGGAATTGAAAGAAGGAAGATATACAATCCAGGTACTAAAGAAAAGTATTTGCAATTACTTATCTGATAAGAGTCTAGTATACAGGATTTATAAAGAATTTCTACAATGTTATTCAACATCAGGGCAAAAAGACTAGAAAGTAATTTCTCTAAGAATAATATACAAATGTTCAATAAATACATTGAAAATATGGAAGGGCATTACTAATCAAGAAAAAGAATATTGAATTATGAGGAACTACTTTAACTCTGCTAGTATGACCAATATTATAAAGAGACACAGACACATATGAGTGTTCAAATGGATACAGAGAAAATGCAGTCCTTATATATTACTGGTGGCAATGTGAAACTCTGCATCTAATTTGAACAGAGTTTAGGAGTACTTCCCAAGAGAAAAAATGATGCACATAAATACAGCAGAATTATTGTTATAAGCCTGAAAGTAGCAAGCATGTACATGTCTACTAACTGATATGTGAATAAATACAAGTGGCATCTATATAATACATTAATATTCTGCAGTTTGAAAATATGAAATATTGAAACATGCTTTGTGATACAACACGAATGAACTTTGAGAACATTACATTAAGTAAAAGAAATCTGTAATGGAAGACTACATAATACATGGATGTATTTCTGTTAGCTTCTGAGATAAGGCAAATATATAGAGAAAGAAAATAGGTCAGTGTTTATCCAGTACTTGACAAAAAGTGGGAAAGTGGCCAGGCAGTGCTGGCACATGGAGTGAGTTACAGGCCAGCCAAGGCTACACAGAGAAACCCTGTCTTGAAAAAAACAAACAAACAAAAAAGTCGGAAAGGAGAAAAGGAAGGAAATACTGAAGACCTGTAATGGAATACTCATTTCTTTGGGGAGCAAAATCAGAACTTTTATGATCATAGCAATGGCTATTGAGTTGTTCACTTTTTAAAAATCTACATTTTATAGTATGTAAATAATTTCAATAGCAGTATTGATAGAAAGTAAAAGTTATGCAAAGCATTTGCTTATTTTATGTAACATCCCTTTTCTTTGGCTAGAATACTGTCTCTGTTCTGATTTTCTCCAATATTTTGTTTTTTGATCACATTTTTTCCTCTTCTTTTATTTTACCTCTCCTACCATTCTACTTGTCAATGGAAGAAATGACTTTTGTCCAGGATAGTACTATCATTGATTCGTAATGGACTCAGCTAGGAAAATGGACTCTACTTGCCCATTCACTTAGAGTACAGATTTCCAAGATCTTTGTAAAGATCTGTCATTGAGGTAAATTGTGGCATCTCAGTAAGAGGTAGTTGTACAATATAAGCTCCTGGACTTATTTATATAATATGATTGCAGAACAGTGGTGGTATCTAAAGCTAGAAGAAAGAATTTTCTTTTACTGTAGTTTTCTAGATACTAACTGCTTCATTTAAAGATGTATGTGCATATATGTGCACACATGTGAAAGCAAAAACTGTCAGTTATGATGTAAATATTCTCTTGCAATTGATATAATGTGATTTCAGCAATCTTTCACCTACACTATCAATTCTGCTCTAAGGGCCAATTTCTTCAGTGTAAAAGGAAGCTGAGAAGAGAGGGGATTTGATCCAGAAAGGAAAGAGACTGGGATAACACACATTTATAGTTGTCGACAGCTGAGAACAGTACTCTGAGGATATAGAGGGTTATTATTCTATTTTACAGAGATATTTATGGAGAAACACAGGATATGAATAAATTCTATAATGAAACAAACTATTCGTAGCAACAGTCAACAGATCACAGACATACTCAGATAAATTTCCTGGTCAGTATTAAATGGAATCATATTTTTTTGTCATTCAAGGGAAAAGAAATGCATACTTCTATGGAATCATATTTTTTTGTCATTCAAGGGAAAAGAAATGCATACTTCTCAGCAAGTTGCTGCAGATACATCAAGAATAGTTATAGTAAGGGAAATATTGATTTCAAATTTTATGAGTGACTAGGAAAGAAAGAAGTAAACCAAATTTAACTTCAAAAGCTATTTCAGCTGATTTCTATATGAGTATATAGAAAAGGCCCTGGAGACACCTCAATGACATTAACTCATCTTTTCATTCAAAATTGGAAATTCTCTCCTTTGCTTGCCTTGTCTTTTGCAATTGTGGACCTTTCTACATGAATGGAAGCATAAACTATACAGCAATATTAAATGTGAAATGGACGTACGGACACTGAAGTGTTCACAGCCAGTCAACTTATCAATGGATTTACAAGCCTCCTCTGTCTTCAGCATTTCCTTCTGCCTTCTCTTGCTTTCTGGATCATTATTCAGAATCTTGTTTCTCAGCCAAGTCAAATGATACACGCGAAGTCTGTTCTTGTGGCCTGGTAGGAAAATGTGATGGCATTTCAATTCTCTATCTCCTTTAACATTTTAGGAATACAAAGAAGTAGCAGTGTGCTGCTCTTTAAATCAAATGTTCATTAAACTAAAAGTCACCATTAAAAACATGATATTTCTGTCTTCTGTCTCAGTTCCAAGAGACAGTTGGATTCTATTGCTGCCTCTGTGCCTATCTGAAGTGGATCTAACATACTCCACTAGGAGAGGTTAAGAATGTTTCTAGTCAGTCAGCCCAATGATTATCCATTCATTTGAACTTTCCTAAGTCATGGTTTCTGTGTGGTTCCCAGACTTAGAGGCTGTTGCTGGTATTATGTATGAGTGAGAAGATGTCTGAGTGCTGACTGTTTGGGCATTCGGGCCAGGAAGATGGATCTCCTTAGTTCTCTCAACCTGGCATGTTGATAAATGGATTGGACACACTTATTAGTTCTTCAATAATTTTATCTTTAAAATTTTTATCTGTCTTTTAAGGCTTTTATTTTTATATATTTCTGATGTATAAAGTATTTTTATTCATGTAGACTTTGAGAAATAAGCATATTTATCACTTAAATTTTGAAATTTTATTTATGGTGAGTACATTCAAATTCCTCTCCTCTATTTTGAGATACATGTGTTATTTTTCTTATATTCACCCATTGTGCCATATAAATAACAACAAAATGTAGCACTCTTATTTAAATTTTACCAAATGTGTACCTGTTGCTTTATATTGCCTTTCTTCCCCCTTTGTACCTAGTCCAGATGCTGGCAACCACCAATCTATCCTCAACTTCTTGGAGGCAATGTTTGAGTTATTTCTTTTAGGTTTTGAGATCATAATAATATTTACATTATTTCCTCCTTCCCTCCAGTCCTTTCACATCCTCTCATATAACACTCTTTTCTCTCTTTCAAATCCATGGCCTCTACTGTCATTAATTGTTGTTACACACACACAGGTATATACATGAATATTCATAAATATATAAATATAATGTGTTGAGACAATTTTTATATTCTACTCATGAGTGAGATAGTTTTTATTTTTAATTTAATAATTACTAATCGTATCATGTTCTTATAGTTTATTTAAATAATAAAGGCACTATATAATGACTTTATTCATTTTTTAAAATTGTTATAAAATCCCAATATTAAGAATCCCAATATTGAGACCAGGCTGGCTTCAAACTTGGAGATCCACTTTCCTTTGCTTCCTGAGTGCTGAGATTAAAAATGTGTGCTTCCATGCTCATCCTACCAGCCAAATTCTTAATGTGATTAATTTTACTGTGTTTTTATAGGGAAATTTTAAAGAAGTGTTAAAGACACTTATGGTCATTTTATCCTGGATTGGTAGAATAAACTACTGAATAACTTCACATTGCATCCATGTAAGTTCTTTTCAGAGTACCCTTTGAGGATCCTCATCTGAGGATGACATTTTATAGTATTTGACACAAAAATAATTTGTAGGCTGAGGTGTGCTTGCTTACCATGCACAAGGCCCTTAATGTTAAAACCCAGTACCAAAGCAACAACAACAACAAAGAAAACAAAACAAAACAAAAAAACTCCATTACATTTGGGTTAAGTTTAAGGGTTGTAAAATATCTACATGGTTTGAGAAAAATCAGACGAAAAAAAATCTCTCATCTAGGTGTGTATAGTTGCTAAGCTACCCAGATGTTTCCAAAACTAAGTATTGCTTCTGTGTAGCTGAAATCATTATAGATGATTGGTTATAAAATATGATTAAAATATTATGAAGTCTGAGTTTATCTCTAAATCGATTTGCCTTTAATCAAACCTTGAAGCCAAATCAATCTTATCCAATCATATGGCAATTTTCACACTAATATATATTTCACATATATCTTATATGTTATGAAGTACAAAAACTCATATAAATATCAGTGTTTGGTATGGTTTTATTTGATGGCCAAATCTTATGTTAACCATTCCCATTAATTCAGTAGTTGTCTTTTGATTTCCTGATACTATTTCCTGTTTAGTGTTAGATCTCAAACTTAGGACAAAGGGCTAAATGAGGAGCTTAATAACATACCAAAGCAGACACTGTCTGCCATGTTTTCCCAGCATCCCTCAGTCCCTATCTGTTACAGGGTCTTCCTTGCTGGCATATCCTGACCCTTACCCTGAAGTCTCCAGCCCAGGAGCAGGGCTGCCCTTCTCCCAGCTGCTCTTTCATAAATAACCCAGCCATTTTGGTTATACTGGTTGTTTCACTCTTTCGCCTTTTGGTCTCCTGGCCTCTTGGCTGCCACTCCAGGTTCCCATCTTTTCCCTGCCCTCTCTCTTCATATGGACTATTGGTCTGCTGGTCATGTCCACTCTGGACTCTCCCACATGCCTCTGGCTATGCTCTACTATATACCTATGATAAACTTTCTCCTCTACCATGCCCAGGGGCAGTCATGTCCTCCTTTTATTTATTTATTTTCATTCACTTAGTAGTCACAATTAATTTAACACCAAATCACTTGCTTTTTCATAGTCAAAGTTTCAGGCTCCAATAATGAAAATCTACTACTTTTTGGGAAAGGTGGAGATGTTTTTCCAGAATCCATTCTTGTAACTAATCTTGTCTGTTTGCCCTTGTAATATTAGGTGGAGACAAGGACAATTCTCTTTTACCCAATTCCTTATTCACTTGTGTTTTAGACACAGCAAAAGCTAGATGGTGGATATCGGTGTAGCCCCTTTGAATGTGAGATAACAGCTCTGAAGTTTTGGAGACAGCTCTGAAAAGAACTTCTAAGGATGCAAATGTAGTTTTCTTGATCTCTAACCTAGGTTAAGTGCATCAAGATCAAAGGGATTTTGTTTAGAGTGTTAATATACAAGAAAACACAAGTAGGAAATTTTGCTGTCCCAATTACAGATCATATTTAAAGTGTTTTCCCATGAATACTTTCACCTAAGAAAGCCTTTAACCTAGTTTGCAGTTCAATTACTTTGTATAATTACTCAGTTAATTTTAGGACTTAAACAAACCAGAGATGGTAATCAGCAAATTGAGTGGCTCCACGACTTGGATCTGGCGGAACGGTCTTCGCTTTATAAGTTTAATGATGTCTGCCTTTCCACTTCTGTCCATCAGGTACAGACTAGATCGGGTGCCCAGCAACAAATTGACTCCTGTTAAGATATAGAAAAGTGCTGTAGTAGCTGATAATTTATATTAGTATGTATTAATTTTACAGAAAGGGTTTCACTATGATGTTTTTATACTTATCTGTCACATAATTTAATCAAAATCACTCTCTTCACCCTCCTGTTTTTATACTTATCTGTCACATAATTCAATCAAAATCACTCTCATTACCCTTCCTTATTTTTCCTTCTCACTCTTTCTGGGTCCTCTTCCATTTCCCTAATAGTCTCCACTAGACTTTTAGGACCTTAAGAAAAATAAAACTAGATTTGGCATGTGAAGGGAACTGTGATATTTGTCTTCACATATTTAGTTTACTTCAATATCCAGTTGTAACCTATTTTCCTCATGATTATGCACTTTTTCACAGCTGAATAAAACTCTAGTATGTGTATTCCACATTTCTTTACACTTTAACTACTGATTTTCTAACTAAATATATATGTATAATTACTTTTGTTATTGCACTTTGCTAATCTATATAAATATGACTTTTATCATTTCAGGCTAATATTAGCCTTGTTAACATCATACTATTCAACTATGTACATTCCTCACAGAATACGTTTCATTAAAATGTATGAAGAGATGTTTATACATACTAGCAATATTCTATTGACTGCTCTCGAGTGTGCCATCTAACATAAAGAATATTAGGTATGTCATAGCACTATTTCTCAATTGCCACTAACATTTCCAGAATCAATCAGACTTTCTGAATATTGCCTTTAAGCAAAGTTAGTCTACACATTTATAGTTAATTTTGGTTCATTTTCTAGACATCATCTACATTTCCAGGTACTTGGAAGACTCAAGTGTTCATGCATTATTGTCTGAGCACTAAGTTAGAAAATTATTGAGGATGACTATTTTCTTCTAAGGGCTCAGTCCCTATAGTTAAAGTTGCTAATTCTTTGTATTTCTCTTTTAATACCCATCTTATGTTCAGTCATACATAGAGGCAAAAATCTATGAAGTATTAAGTTAGAACTTGGTGTTTACTTTGGACCCTGGTTGCATTAAGTTATTTTATAACAATGTACTGTGCAGACTAGCTTGGGACAACCTACATATAACCTCAGCCCTACTGCAATGGTCATAAATTTTCTGAAACAAAAGGTTGAAAAAAACCTGTCAAATTTATGACTTCACAGAGAGATCTTATACATCCTCTACACTTGAAAATTGCAAGATCCTGCAGAAATCTTTCTTGTACTAAGTATATACTTAGAAAATATTAAACTCAAATTGTCAAATAATAATGAAGTCTAATTTTTTACTCCAGTTAACACAAGTTAAAAAGCATACAAAAGTGCAAGGTATTAATTCAACATGCCAAATTAGCCTTGAACCAATTACTATATCTTCATTTTTAATCGATTGGCAATGCTAAAATATTTTACTCCTACAAGCTTCACACTTTTTTCTACACAAACATGGATTAAAAAAAAACAACAAAACTCAGTTTCAAGAACTCCAACTCACCCCACAAAGAACCACAGCAGATCTCAGATGTGAACTCCTTTTCATACATATGGATTAGTGGTTTGTTGCATGCTGGGGAGACACAGAATGGGTTAACATTTATTTCAGACAGTAGCTGAGGTGGTTTTTCAGGAATGTCAACAAAGCCAGCATATACTGCAAAGGGAAAGGCACTGCGACAAATCACTGATCTATTTAATAAATGTGTCAAGTATTTCCATAATGAAGATGACCCTCAAAGTTTGGTTTCCTTGTCCTTTATGCAAGTTTTAGTAAATTCTTAATTCATTAGAAAATACAAATTGTAGTGGTTAAATACATTGCTGAGTATGGATATAATTTGTGGTTTCATTATACTGCAAAACCAATAATTGAATGAAGCACTCAGTTTATGAGTTGCAGGCCAAATTTAGTCACCATAAAGATTCAATGATAGCGGGGTGTGATAGCAAGGGCCTGTGATCCCAGGAAAATAAGGAAGTCAGTGCCAGTAAGAGCTATAGAAGGCCATCCTGGTTACAAAAGACTCCCAAAAATCTAAGGAAAAAGAAAAGATTTTCACCGAGGAATAATTACACAAAATTGTATATTATTTACTTATTTAGGCACATATGTTGTGGTTGGCTCTTTCCTTCCACCATCTGGGTCAAGTTAGGCTTGGTGGCAAATACATTTACCTTCTCACTCATCTTGCCAGTCTAAGGAATACATTTTTTTTTGGTTCTTCGAGACAGGGTTTCTCTGTGTAGCTTTGGAGCCTAACTGGCACTCACTCTGGAGACCAGGCTGGCCTCAAACTCACAGAGATCTGCCTGCCTCAGCCTCCTGAGTGCTGGGATTAAAGGCGTGCGCCACCAACGCCCAGCGAGGAATACATTTTTAAACACATTCATAGATCTCATTTTATACCAAATGTATAAAATTCCTTGATTATTATGAAGCATGAATTACTGTATGAGCCAGTGGAAACATTCAGCATGGGAAGATCACACCAGAAATACTCACAGTTGGTACTCTCAGTGTCAATATCAGAAGCAGAAGCAGACCTTCCGGAAGGTGAGTCGATGATAGGAAAACCCATTGTTGTTGATGACTCTGATATATCATTGGGATTCTCACCATCAAGTACGAGGGATGTATCATCAAAGGCAATTGAGTCTGAGGTCTCAGTCCCACCATCTGACTCCTATAAGGAGAACAAAGGCCATCTCTTAATCTATTTGGTTAATAGCAGGAAACAAATGCTAGGGATGACCTGAAAATTTGAATGGAAAATTTGTAATGCATAATCCTTAAAACTAATATTAAACAGTCTCATCAGAGAAATAAGCTACTATTGAGATAGTATGAGGGATGAAAGAGAAGGAGCATCAAGTTGCCAAATGTACAATTTCAGATCTAATATTTGTGGCAATATTTCAGGTTCTATAGTAGTAATCTTATTTATGTATCTCTATGAACATTTACCACAACATAAAAAGTTCCTGATTTTGCTATAAGGAAACAAAAAACTTAGAGAAATGAAAAGTTTTCTGTATCAGAGAGCTGGTAAGTAGGGGATTTAGGGTTTGAAAGGAATCTAATCCCAAATTGTATATGCCAAATAGCCACTTTGAAAAAAAAGCACACTATGAGGGTATTTCATCCATTTGTTTAAGATACCTACAGAGCTGGGTCTTATGGGAAATGCATAAACTCATGGCACATGCAAGGCTCTGTTCATGAGTCTGGGCTGCATATTAAGTTTCAGGCTAACATGGGCTTACAGATATAGGCCCTGGCCCTAAAGTTGAAAAACAAAACAAAAACAACAACAACAAAACAGACAAAAACTATGACAAAGCAATACAGAACAAAAAAATGAGAATACAAGAAAAAAAGACGGCTTAAGAGAACTGATAGTAAGAAGAACCATGGGGGCTGTGGTTCAAATGATCAAACAAAAGATAGACAATAAAAACACCAACTTAAAACAATCCTAGAGTAAGCATATTTTCCATAAATCTTTCAAGCTTCTATTAATTGAATAGACACTCAAGGAATAAAACTTCCGTGTGTGACAAGTCTAGACTTCTTAATATGTGGGAAAAAAATATCAACTCTGTTGAGAATAATGAAGGTCAAGGGATTAGGAGTTAATTAAATCTATCCGCCTAGATGTCTAACAGATTAATTGGAAAACAGAAATATGCTGTGTACATATACACAACACAATTTTATTCAGCCACAAAGAAAAATGAAGTTATGCAAATTTCAAAATAGTGGATGTATATGGAAATTATTATATTAAGGGATAAAATTCTACTCGGAGAAAAACATACTTCTAGTTCTTTATGGTAGACACACAGATTCTAGATTTTAATGTTTGTGCCTGTGTGTGTATGTGTAGAGTAGAGAACTAGAAGAGACCATCAATGAGAGGGAGAAAGATTCTAATGAAGGAAGAGTAATGGGTCAACAGAATACATGTGACATGAGTTGAATGGAGGGAAAAGGAACAGTTAAGGGGTCAGGGGAATGGAAGGAAGAGGAGGACCAATGAAAACAAAGTATGTGTGACAATGCTGTAATATAATCCATTATTTTATGTGCTATAAAATGTAAATAAATATAAAATGCTAATGGTTGCACAATATTGTACATGTCTAAAATTCTAGCGATGTGAATACTTGGAAAATTTCAGTATGTATATTCTACATCTATAAATAATATTACCAGTATTTTGAAATGCTTCCCCAAGTACATGATCTTACTTAAAATAAAATAAATCAAGTTTTGTCCTTGGAGGTACATACTGAAGAATGTAGTGAAGATACCATGCACTTACAATTATATTATTTATTTCAGGATTCGGGATACAAGAATATAATCAATATTGAATAGTTCTAATGTTATATATCATGTGCTGATATAAGTTTACAAGAGAAGTATATTCTTGTCTTCAAATGCTTCATTACCTCTTGTTCATGTTCAAAATCCTGAAAAATGTGTTCATCCAGTCCTGCACCATCTTCCTGTGCGTGAGCTTCTTCTCTATAGAATCCACATGCTCCATTCTCTTCACTGCTTTCATTGAGTCCTCTGTATCTGTTTCCTCCATAGGCTCCATGTCCATCCAGGTCTCTAAAGGAAGCACTCGCTCCAGCAGCACTGTTTCCTTGATAACCACTGGCTCCACTGTTTTTATAGGCTCCAAATGCTCCCTGCTGTACATTATTTCCACCACTACCAGCTTTCTTCAATATTCCCTGTCTGCGATAGCTTGCACTGTTAACAAGGACAAATGAATGAAAGATGGCCATTCAATAAAAACACAAAATCAAAGCCAGAAAATGAAAGAGAAATCCGATTTTATACACACATACAGAGACCCATATAAGTTATGTTCAGGAATGATTTTGCTTTTTGTAAATGCTTTTGGTCTTCTATACACATGAAAAATTCCTCAATGCTTTGCCAATATTAAGTACTGAATTAACATGATAGCCACTGTCAATATTTTGTCATCATTATGGAGGCAAAGGGAAAAGAACTGAACTTTAATATTAGGTTCACATGACTGGTTAGTGCATAAAATACTCATTTTTATTAAATAACTGAATAATTTATCAATAAATTCTAGTCATATTAATGATCAAACTCATAGTGATATTAGAATATTTTTCAGTATTCTAGATTCTGTCAATTTTAACATGGGCTTTCATTTATTTACATGTATACCAACAGCTCTGCTATAGACCCTTGGTCAATATTCTCATCAAAAAGTCCAAGTCATATTGGCTTCATATGTTAGAGGACGATTAAGATAATCACATAATCAGGGTTTATAAATGTTAAGTTCTAAAATGCCCAATACTTCATTTTGCATGGAAGATAATATTGAACATTATGTCCCTATGGTGATCATAAATGAAAATCTGTGTGAAAATGGAATTATTTATAGATCTTCTATTTGGGGAAAAAATCCAAAAGATCTTTTGATAACTTCTCCACCAATTAAACTAATAAAGATCATCCTAAGTTGATGATATACATGGTAAAATCTCAACTCTCTGTGAAATTCTTAGCTATTTTTCAGATAGTGGTATAATACTTCATTTTGTACCCCATTTCTCATTGTGATTTTGTAGGGGAGGGAGATTTAGTGGAAATAATTTTAAGAGAAATACTCAGACAATCTCAGATATCAATAAACTAATAACTGAATTTAAATTGTATGTAAATAATTCATAATTACATGTTCTACATTAGAAAAATTGAAATTACACTACTGAATATTTATCAATATGGAAAGGCAATTCATTAATTCTTTTAATGTTGTTTTACATTTAAAAATAAACCAAACATACCAATAGTTCTGAACTTATAAGCACCTATGGGATAATAACAGAGACAAACTAACCTTGGCCCATTGGCTGCAGAACCAAAATTATCATCTATGTTACGAGCAGATCCATCTTCATAGTCACCTTCACCACGGACTTTATAGACATTTGCCTGATCACCCTGGTTATTCCAGTCACCATGGCCATTGACACGGTCATAGGTATCTTCTTCATAAGCATCGTAAGCAGCTGCCTCATCACCATCAATATTAGCACCAGCATCATAGAGTTCAACATAATCACCATCTTCTTCAGGTGGCTGAGCACCAGGTGTAGGAATTAACCAGTCATCCCAGAAGATTTCAGAGAGTGCATTGTAGCCTACCCATTCATTTGTCAAGTACACAGGGGGTGATATTTTTCCCACTTTAAATCCATCTGGAACCTGTGTGCACAAGAAAGGTTAAGGTAGTCTCTAATAGCTTCTCATTTTCTTTAGCTATTGGAAGTTTACAAAATGACAACACTTAAAAACATGTTAAAAGTATATTCTTTACTGAAACAAAGATGTCCACAAAGAACAAATATTTTAGTGAAGATGAGTTGCCCAAATCCAAGCATTAGTAATTAGCAGTAGACTGTGTAGATTACACAGCAAATTTACTCACTGTTTCATTAACTCTACTTGCCCGCTGAGGAGTAGATATTTGCTTTTGACATTGGAGAGTATGCTCTAGACAAAGTCTGTTTTTTCCTTTTGTTTTATCCTAACACTGAGATTAAAGTAAAGCTCTTGAAATGGATAGGTTATTTTCCCAGTTTTGTCTGAATATGCCATATATTATCTTAAATTATTTCAAATGCCCCCAAAAAGCAAATGAATACAAATGCAATTCTTTTTTTGTTTTGTTTTTCAAGGCAGGGTTTCTCTGTGGCTTTGGAGGCTGTCCTGGAACTAGCTCTTGTATACCAGGCTGGTCTCGAACTCACAGAGATCCACCTCCCGAATGCTGGGATTAAAGGCTTGCACGATCACTGCCCAGCTACAAATGCAATTCTTATATTAGGCATAAACATATATGTGATAGAGTAAGGGTGTTATGAAAATAAAATGTGACCTGAAAGCACATTGTAGAAGTTTAGGGATGCCTTTTACTTAGACAATCAGAAGACACTATTTTCACGAATATTTTGTCTCATTATCTAAGGAACACTATTAAACAACTGTCAAAAATTTGACATATACATCTTGGTCATAGCTTAGGTTTTAAATGTATCTGTTTGTCAATCTTCATTCCTACATATTCTATCTCTATTTTGTGTGGTACTGGGATTGAGTATGCTAGGCAAGCATTGTACCACCAGATTATATCATCAACACCTCTCATCAACATATTCTGACTAAAATGTGAAAATACAATATTGTCTGACCAGAAAAGTACTTTTTTCCCATTTCATTTTTATATTCAAAATTTTATATTCTGAATACTTGCCCAACAATATGATCTTTGTAAATAAAGACTAATATGACACATTTAAACTCTTTTACTCCTCAATTTAAAAATATTTTCTCTGTGTGTATGCCTGTGTGCATATGTGTGCACCTTGTGCCTTCCTGGTGCATACAAAGGCCAGAATAGGGGGTTAAATCTTCTAGAACTGGACTTGCAGGTGATTGTGAGTCACCATATTCATTCTGAAAAACACACCCGAGTCTTCTGAAACAGAAACAAGTGCTGAGCTACCTGTCCATGCCTAGCCTCCGTGTTTTAAGATCAGAAACAATTGGCCAAACCAAACTGATATTAAAAATAGATAGAAATGCATCATGAGATAAACCTACATGGATGTCAATCAGTAACTTCTGATCAATAGTAGAATAAGGTGGTGATGATTGGGACTTCCTCCTAGTCACGGGACTGTCTTCCTCAGACGATGATTCTATGGATTGCCAAAAAGGATATTAGTAACAACAGAGATTTCACAACTACTTCAGTTTGTATAGTGTGTCAATCCAACACCTTATTGTTTTTCTTTTAACATTTGTCATCCTATTATGGGAGTATCACCTCATATTAAAACCTACTGTGGCTGTGATCCTGAGTTCTGCTTTCAAGGATACTAGCAGGCTCACATTTTGTTCATACTGTAGACCTACAGGCATTTTTATCTTCAATAATTAATGTACATTTGATAAAATCTATCAACCTGCCCAGATTTAACCAAGTTATAAATCCCCAAATATTTTGATAAAGATTAAGAATAATTAAAATTATCAAACTTAACTGTGTATCACACAGCTGGAAACTTTATAATAATTTGTGAAACAACTTTCTGAAGTGATAGAAATATTCCATTTCTTTTTGGCTAATGAACATTCCCGAGTACTGAATATTAACCACTGGACCACCAGAGTAGCTACTCAGCATTTAAATAGAAATAGACTGTTAAAATGTTTAGTTAATTTTTATTTTGGTTTTCATTTTAATAATCACATGTGGCCTGGCTGTTTTTTGTCACATGGGATAGCACAATTCCATTAGGATGATATTTCTACTTAAATAAAATTATTTCAATTTGTAAGTACAGGTTTTGAAAACTGTCATGTGGTAAATAATAAGCTGCATTAAAAGTTCAGTGAGAATATTTAATAGGCTCAGAAATCAGTGGAGTCTAGGTGAACATATTTATTATAAAAAGGTTTCCCAAAGGAATACTGGATCCATGTTTATTTCTATGAATATTAAGTATAAATGCTACTGCCCTTCTTTTATCTGCAAACTATATATAGTCAAAGTCTAGATACTACATATTGAAAACCCTTATAATGTATACCTCATATCCTACAATGTGCATTCTTGCCTTCTAGTGTTGTAACTTTGGTATTTATTTACTTTTTCAGAAAGTAATACTTTCAGGTTGAGTGTCCGATGATTTCTCTGGCACATTGACAGTGAGGTGATTTCCTTTGAGGAAGCCTAATCTGCTGGAAATCTAAGATACTCTGTTTCATACACATAGCAGTCTCAGCCCTGAAAGATTTAGCTCTTATTTGCAGAAATAGTGTTGCTTCCTTCTATCAGTGGTTATGAATTATTTTATTTCAGAAAGGCAAGAGACTGAACTGTAAAAATGATGTGTTTGCTATGTATTAGCAAATGTTTTCCCTTCCAAACCAGAAGGAAAACATTCTGGGAAAACATCCCTA